CATCACTGATATTCAGTTTCACACTACCGCACGGGAATCAAGAACGGAATTCTTTCGCGCAGATCACATGACATCGTTCGCCGTGGGACTAAAATTCAATCAGTTTTATGTACATTTTACCACGTATGTTTTCTTTTAAACTTAAAGTATTATTTACGTTAAACGCAAGACATGGTTAGTCACGCGATCGAGATCAATGCACGCTTTACTTTGTGGCTGCCATTTATTCTCTCTAGCCTTGGTAAAACTCGAAACATTTATTTTCGACCTGGAGAAATTCTGGAAAATGAATAAAATTCAACCGTCTTATATCAGTGAAAAATGACCACCGACGAAGAAAAAGTGTATGGAGGTCTACTGCATTGCATAAAATTAGCTCTCATGTATGAGGTCGTTCTTCAGTCATCTCGGTTAATTACTGATTCAATTGTACCCGTGATTGCTTTTTAACAAGAATCAGTAACGATCGTTCAAACGCTTTTAATTTTCTCCCTCTTTCCTACGCCTGGCCTTCCTATCACTCCCTTCGTCCCCACTTTCCTTAATAATTAACTCAAATATCCCCAAGTGAACGCGAGCGACTGGGTACGAGGCAGGGAGACCGATCAAATTGGACCACCTTCAAAGGTGTTCCCAAATATTCCGGTCGCACTAAACCGAAATGATCCGTTCCATTTGATTTCTAACCGAAATTTTCGGAATTTTGGTCTGAATGGAAATCACCCAAGAGTCCCTTATAATGATTTATAATCACATGTCACTGGATAGTTTGTTTAATCCTCTTTTGTAAAAACTGCCATTCACTACGAATTCCATTTTAATTCAATAAGCGCATTTTATGGGTCACATAGATCACAACTTTCCCAAGCATCATAAACACGAGTCAATGAGACAGGACGATCTTTATTGCTTTGTGCAGTCAGCAGCTGAGTCAGAAAGGTCGAAGTAATGGCGGAACTCAAATGGTACGGCATCTTCGTGTTTCTTTTTGGAACCATTTTAAGCATTGCTGACCCCATTACTGATTTTCTTACAGTGGTGGAATTCTACCGCACAGATCACAAGACGTGGTTCGGTGTGGGGCTTACATTCATTATTCTGCCAAGTCTGTTTTTTCTTATATTTAACTGTTTCCATGAATTTACGCGAGAAGATGAACAATCAGAACAGGAAGAATACCAGTGTACGGCTTGGAAATTCACACATGCTTCATTTCTTGGATGCAATCCACTCTATCCGGCCTGGCTGAAGCTGCGCTTGCTTTTCTTCTACCTAAAGATGTTACTAAAACGCAGGCAACGAAGTAACAGCGATCAAACAAGTAAAGACTTCGAGGAAGTACTGGGGTGGAGCAAATACGCTGTTCTGACCGAGGCCGTTCTTGAATCAGCTCCTCAGTTTATTATTCAGTTGTACGCCATGGCTGTTCAACAGCAATCCGTGACGATCGTTCAAATGGTTTCCCTGCCCGTGTCTTTCCTTAGCTTGGCTTGGGCGTCTTCTGTTGCTGATACGGTATTTCACAGTTACGAAGGAACCCTTAATTTCAGTGTGAAAGATAGAGTTCTACATTTTGTGACGCACTTATTTATTTTAAGCAGTCGACTCCTTGCAGTTGCTTTGTTCACCGTAAGCTACAAGTGGTGGGTTACCAGTGTTCTGATCTTTCACTGTGCGTTGAAAGTGATATGTGACATCGTTTGGCTTCGCAGAAAACGACGGCTTTTAACCTTCGAAAACTTACTTACATCGGTTTTGTTTTCTTGCGTGCATTGGTTACGAGATGATGTGTCAGTAACAGTAAATGACGAGAAAATCGAACACAACAGAATAGTTGAATATGTCAGAAGAATGCAGTTGGTCTCCAACGTGCTGTTTGTGATAGAAAACATCACCCTGATCCTGTTGTTTTATTTCAGTCATTTCCCTCACACCTGGTACTCCTTACCAGTCACCATCTGCGTCTGTTTATTTGCTGTTCTTGGAGCCGTAATGAGACTTACTCACTTCAATGTTTTATATAAGGATTCAGATGATCAATCAAATAATACCGATCAAGTGCAGCAGCAATCGCATAGTAATCCCCTCGAGGTTGCAGCAACATAAAACGGAGGTAAATCATAGTCTGATCTTGTATTGGTACGTCTCAAGTTTTTATGTGATCTGTTACATTATGTAGGCTAACTATAATATTTAAGAGTCGCAACTAGGGAAAGTAGAAAAGTACCGTCAACTGGGACACACATTTAAGCCATTATGTTATGTTGATTTACTGACTTATTTACCGAATTTGGGATAATTTGTGAGTCATTCAGTATTCAGTAATGAATTAATTAGTTCAAAAGTAACTAAACCAAACTGAACTATACTAAAACGAGCCAAATGTTTGTTATTTACTCTGTCATGCGTGTAGTCTACGCATGTGGTTATCAAACAATACAATAGCTCATGGTCATTTTGTTCTCGGTCTTGTTGCACTGGGCTGGCAGTGAATTTTGAAAATATTGACTCCACTGAAGTGTGACAGTTCATGACAAATTCTGACAAAATAGTAAAACTGTAGTTGTCGCTAAGACCTTGAGGGTTAACATTCTTGTAATATTGTTGAGCATTATCACTATCGCAATGGTGGTTTTTGCAACATACCTAGTTAGAGAATAAGCTTTCAAATATACCATACTAAAAAATACGCCCTGGGTCATAATTATATTGCGCTCTGCTTTGCGTGAGAAAGCGGTTCTAAAGTTTGTAGTATACGTAGTATCACAAAAGCTTTAATTAAAGTGACTTTGAGATCACTTTTCAATTAGGGCAATAAATTAGCATCACCTTAAAACGCGAATAGTTGTTAAGTATAATTTATAACACTCTAAACATTCCGGGCTAGCATACAGTCTGCCATCTAAAACTAAACACAATCTGATGTCAACCATAACTTTCTTTTCCAAAGAGTAGAAGAGAGGGACTCGTCGCATTTCCTCGAATATTTTAAAATTCGGGCCTTATTCAAGGAGCCGCTTAATCGAAGAAGAGGGGGATGGCCTATTAAAGTAATGCTTAAAATAACTGAAATAATTGTGGCAAAAATTAAAATATTTAGTCAAGATCAGGGGCGGATCTAGGGGGAGGGTGCAGGGGGTGCCAACCCCCTCCCCCCCCCGCCTCCTGAGATGACCTGCGGTTTTCTAATACAACTGGTATTCTGCAAAAAAAACTATGTGGTTTATTAGTGTTGAAGTAGAGAAAGAGACGAGTGCACCCCCTCCTAAAAAAATCCTGGATCCGCCCCTGAAGATGTCGGGATATTGACCAAGTTCGCAAAACAAAAGAACGAGACCAATATACAGCCATTTTGACCAAATGAGTTTGGTGTCTTAAACGATGAAAATCGTCAGTGTGGAAAATATATACAAGTCCGCAAATTTTTTGCTTTGAGTTAATGGAGTTTTATCTAGTGTATGGGATATCTATCATGCGTGTGATTTGAAAATATCGCAAAAACAATAATTGTGGTTCAGTTTCCTCATAATCATACTCATTAATTGGCAGGAGTACCCAACGAACGTTTTTCGCAAAATTGATTATACAATGTCGTAAACGCTAGCAGAGTGCTTTTACGTTAACCTACGTTACTATTTAACTTTCCTGGGAAAAAAATACCCGCTCTTCACTGCTAGCCAGCAAGACTTTCGGAAAATAAAAATCCCAGCCAGCAATCATGTTTGACGGTTTTTTGCCAGCCAAAAAATTGAATTGGTGTTCTCCGGCGACATGAGAAAGTAGTTTGTCCCATAATTTAATCCTTTGCTATCGACTCAAACGAAACTGCTGTTTCAAAAACTGTTCGCTAGTTGTGGCGATATCAACAATACGTGTTCATGGTAAAGTTGATTTAGGGCCTGTTTACATGGAGGTGGGGGACCCCAGGTAGGTGAAGCAACTCGCTTAGGTGGGGTAACCCGCCTGTCCATATAATCTCTCATTTTAATTTGATCACGTTTACATGCTAGGTGGGGTGACCCTCCAAGGCGGGTAGCCCGGTCTACCAGACCGGGTTACCCTCTCAGCCGGGGCCAAATTTTGCCATGTAAACGTTTCAAGGTGGGGTAACCCGCCTGGCCGGGGTCGGATTCGTGATACATCAAATTCTCGCAAAATTCAATTTGGCGGTGACTTTGCATCATTATTAAAGTTAACAATAGAAAGCCATTGCACTGAAGGTTGCAGCAAGAGCAACAAGTGAGTGTAGAAGGGCATTAATCGCCAAAACACGTGCTTTGCCAGCATTTTTCTTGTTTACGTGCTTAGCCACCATTCAATAATCTTGAGAAAGTACACCTGGGATGGCGGGGTTGTAAGATTGCATGTAAAGGAGGGTTATTTTTTTACCCCACCTAAGCAGGTTACCTCACCTTCCTGGGGTCCCCCACCTCCATGTAAACAGGCCCTTAGTAACTATAACCTTTCTCCCAATCGATCTATATATTCATATTTGTATTGTGTGCTTTAGTTGTGGGACTAAAATTCAATCAGTTTTATGTACATTTTACCACGTATGTTTTCTTTTAAACTTAAAGTATTATTTACGTTAAACGCAAGACATGGTTAGTCACGCGATCGAGATCAATGCACGCTTTACTTTGGGGCTGCCATTTATTCTCTCTAGCCTTGGTAAAACTCGAAACATTTATTTTCGACCTGGAGAAATTCTGGAAAATGAATAAAATTCAACCGTCTTATATCAGTGAAAAATGACCACCGGCGAAGAAAAAGTGTATGGAGGTCTACTGCATTGCATAAAATTAGCTCTCATGTATGAGGTCGTTCTTCAGTCATCTCGGTTAATTACTGATTCAATTGTACCCGTGATTGCTTTTTAACAAGAATCAGTAACGATCGTTCAAACGCTTTTAATTTTCTCCCTCTTTCCTACGCCTGGCCTTCCTATCACTCCCTTCGTCCCCACTTTCCTTAATAATTAACTCAAATATCCCCAAGTGAACGCGAGCGACTGGGTACGAGGCAGGGAGACCGATCAAATTGGACCACCTTCAAAGGTGTTCCCAAATATTCCGGTCGCACTAAACCGAAATGATCCGTTCCATTTGATTTCTAACCGAAATTTTCGGAATTTTGGTCTGAATGGAAATCACCCAAGAGTCCCTTATAATGATTTATAATCACATGTCACTGGATAGTTTGTTTAATCCTCTTTTGTAAAAACTGCCATTCACTACGAATTCCATTTTAATTCAATAAGCGCATTTTATGGGTCACATAGATCACAACTTTCCCAAGCATCATAAACACGAGTCAATGAGACAGGACGATCTTTATTGCTTTGTGCAGTCAGCAGCTGAGTCAGAAAGGTCGAAGTAATGGCGGAACTCAAATGGTACGGCATCTTCGTGTTTCTTTTTGGAACCATTTTAAGCATTGCTGACCCCATTACTGATTTTCTTACAGTGGTGGAATTCTACCGCACAGATCACAAGACGTGGTTCGGTGTGGGGCTTACATTCATTATTCTGCCAAGTCTGTTTTTTCTTATATTTAACTGTTTCCATGAATTTACGCGAGAAGATGAACAATCAGAACAGGAAGAATACCAGTGTACGGCTTGGAAATTCACACATGCTTCATTTCTTGGATGCAATCCACTCTATCCGGCCTGGCTGAAGCTGCGCTTGCTTTTCTTCTACCTAAAGATGTTACTAAAACGCAGGCAACGAAGTAACAGCGATCAAACAAGTAAAGACTTCGAGGAAGTACTGGGGTGGAGCAAATACGCTGTTCTGACCGAGGCCGTTCTTGAATCAGCTCCTCAGTTTATTATTCAGTTGTACGCCATGGCTGTTCAACAGCAATCCGTGACGATCGTTCAAATGGTTTCCCTGCCCGTGTCTTTCCTTAGCTTGGCTTGGGCGTCTTCTGTTGCTGATACGGTATTTCACAGTTACGAAGGAACCCTTAATTTCAGTGTGAAAGATAGAGTTCTACATTTTGTGACGCACTTATTTATTTTAAGCAGTCGACTCCTTGCAGTTGCTTTGTTCACCGTAAGCTACAAGTGGTGGGTTACCAGTGTTCTGATCTTTCACTGTGCGTTGAAAGTGATATGTGACATCGTTTGGCTTCGCAGAAAACGACGGCTTTTAACCTTCGAAAACTTACTTACATCGGTTTTGTTTTCTTGCGTGCATTGGTTACGAGATGATGTGTCAGTAACAGTAAATGACGAGAAAATCGAACACAACAGAATAGTTGAATATGTCAGAAGAATGCAGTTGGTCTCCAACGTGCTGTTTGTGATAGAAAACATCACCCTGATCCTGTTGTTTTATTTCAGTCATTTCCCTCACACCTGGTACTCCTTACCAGTCACCATCTGCGTCTGTTTATTTGCTGTTCTTGGAGCCGTAATGAGACTTACTCACTTCAATGTTTTATATAAGGATTCAGATGATCAATCAAATAATACCGATCAAGTGCAGCAGCAATCGCATAGTAATCCCCTCGAGGTTGCAGCAACATAAAACGGAGGTAAATCATAGTCTGATCTTGTATTGGTACGTCTCAAGTTTTTATGTGATCTGTTACATTATGTAGGCTAACTATAATATTTAAGAGTCGCAACTAGGGAAAGTAGAAAAGTACCGTCAACTGGGACACACATTTAAGCCATTATGTTATGTTGATTTACTGACTTATTTACCGAATTTGGGATAATTTGTGAGTCATTCAGTATTCAGTAATGAATTAATTAGTTCAAAAGTAACTAAACCAAACTGAACTATACTAAAACGAGCCAAATGTTTGTTATTTACTCTGTCATGCGTGTAGTCTACGCATGTGGTTATCAAACAATACAATAGCTCATGGTCATTTTGTTCTCGGTCTTGTTGCACTGGGCTGGCAGTGAATTTTGAAAATATTGACTCCACTGAAGTGTGACAGTTCATGACAAATTCTGACAAAATAGTAAAACTGTAGTTGTCGCTAAGACCTTGAGGGTTAACATTCTTGTAATATTGTTGAGCATTATCACTATCGCAATGGTGGTTTTTGCAACATACCTAGTTAGAGAATAAGCTTTCAAATATACCATACTAAAAAATACGCCCTGGGTCATAATTATATTGCGCTCTGCTTTGCGTGAGAAAGCGGTTCTAAAGTTTGTAGTATACGTAGTATCACAAAAGCTTTAATTAAAGTGACTTTGAGATCACTTTTCAATTAGGGCAATAAATTAGCATCACCTTAAAACGCGAATAGTTGTTAAGTATAATTTATAACACTCTAAACATTCCGGGCTAGCATACAGTCTGCCATCTAAAACTAAACACAATCTGATGTCAACCATAACTTTCTTTTCCAAAGAGTAGAAGAGAGGGACTCGTCGCATTTCCTCGAATATTTTAAAATTCGGGCCTTATTCAAGGAGCCGCTTAATCGAAGAAGAGGGGGATGGCCTATTAAAGTAATGCTTAAAATAACTGAAATAATTGTGGCAAAAATTAAAATATTTAGTCAAGATCAGGGGCGGATCTAGGGGGAGGGTGCAGGGGGTGCCAACCCCCTCCCCCCCCCGCCTCCTGAGATGACCTGCGGTTTTCTAATACAACTGGTATTCTGCAAAAAAAACTATGTGGTTTATTAGTGTTGAAGTAGAGAAAGAGACGAGTGCACCCCCTCCTAAAAAAATCCTGGATCCGCCCCTGAAGATGTCGGGATATTGACCAAGTTCGCAAAACAAAAGAACGAGACCAATATACAGCCATTTTGACCAAATGAGTTTGGTGTCTTAAACGATGAAAATCGTCAGTGTGGAAAATATATACAAGTCCGCAAATTTTTTGCTTTGAGTTAATGGAGTTTTATCTAGTGTATGGGATATCTATCATGCGTGTGATTTGAAAATATCGCAAAAACAATAATTGTGGTTCAGTTTCCTCATAATCATACTCATTAATTGGCAGGAGTACCCAACGAACGTTTTTCGCAAAATTGATTATACAATGTCGTAAACGCTAGCAGAGTGCTTTTACGTTAACCTACGTTACTATTTAACTTTCCTGGGAAAAAAATACCCGCTCTTCACTGCTAGCCAGCAAGACTTTCGGAAAATAAAAATCCCAGCCAGCAATCATGTTTGACGGTTTTTTGCCAGCCAAAAAATTGAATTGGTGTTCTCCGGCGACATGAGAAAGTAGTTTGTCCCATAATTTAATCCTTTGCTATCGACTCAAACGAAACTGCTGTTTCAAAAACTGTTCGCTAGTTGTGGCGATATCAACAATACGTGTTCATGGTAAAGTTGATTTAGGGCCTGTTTACATGGAGGTGGGGGACCCCAGGTAGGTGAAGCAACTCGCTTAGGTGGGGTAACCCGCCTGTCCATATAATCTCTCATTTTAATTTGATCACGTTTACATGCTAGGTGGGGTGACCCTCCAAGGCGGGTAGCCCGGTCTACCAGACCGGGTTACCCTCTCAGCCGGGGCCAAATTTTGCCATGTAAACGTTTCAAGGTGGGGTAACCCGCCTGGCCGGGGTCGGATTCGTGATACATCAAATTCTCGCAAAATTCAATTTGGCGGTGACTTTGCATCATTATTAAAGTTAACAATAGAAAGCCATTGCACTGAAGGTTGCAGCAAGAGCAACAAGTGAGTGTAGAAGGGCATTAATCGCCAAAACACGTGCTTTGCCAGCATTTTTCTTGTTTACGTGCTTAGCCACCATTCAATAATCTTGAGAAAGTACACCTGGGATGGCGGGGTTGTAAGATTGCATGTAAAGGAGGGTTATTTTTTTACCCCACCTAAGCAGGTTACCTCACCTTCCTGGGGTCCCCCACCTCCATGTAAACAGGCCCTTAGTAACTATAACCTTTCTCCCAATCGATCTATATATTCATATTTGTATTGTGTGCTTTAGTGAATATCTGTTATCGATCATTTAATTTGGTAAATTATGTTAAAAAATGCATTAAATAGAGGATATTACACGGTGGCGCGAAGATATGAATTTTATTTTCAAGTGGCAAAACAATATTTTACGAACGAGCGCAGCGAATGAGTAAAATATTGTTTTTGCTACGAGAAAATAAAATTCATATTTTCAAGCCACTGTGTAATGTTCTTTTTATTATATAGACAAAAAGACATCGATAAAATAATAGAGGGAAATGACTGAAATTACGTCATCGATAAACTCACCTGTGAGATTATGGAAAATAAACCACTCGGGTCCCGGATGTAGTTTTTTTATGAATTTTACGGTGGTATTTTTTCCTGTAAAACACTCGTGTCTATATAATAATAATTCATAAAGAAAAAACAAAATAGACTAATGTTTAATGAGTGTCTTTCTATCTCATAATAAAGGACTTAAAGATACAGCTAAACTTTAAGTCCAATCTTTTAGGACCATAATAACACCAAATCTAAATATTAGTGCAAGAAGGAGTTGATCTAAATCAGAGGTTTTGAAGCCATTCAAAAAACTTGCAGTCATGTATTCAGCAGGTTTCAAAACTCTCGACTTCGCCTCGAGTTTTTAAACCTGATTATACACTCGGATCATTATACGTTTTTCTTGTTCGTCTTTTTTTAACATACACTTATATAACATTATAGTCACATTGTACTCATAGCATTTTGTCTTCAATACTGTGTTTGCTGTATCATTCCTTACTTAATTTTGAGGGCCACTGAACAAAAAAAACTGTTAACAATAGTTTGTTACGACTCCATCTTAAATAAATTTGCTGTATTGTATTGTGAATGCCCAAAATGTTTTCCTCTTTTTTGCAGAAAAAGAAGGCATTCCCGAGCGTTGGGCAAGACAGACCAACCCTGCTCACCCAGCTTGGCAATCAGAACACGGGATTCATTTCATCATGCCCGGTCAGCCATGGCAGAGTGGTTGAGCGGTTAGAGCGCCGGACTTACAATTTTAAGGCCCCCAGTTCAAGTCCCGCTCTGACCGCTAGCTGGATTTGTTCACGACAGTCCGAGTTCAAATCCTCGGTCACGCTTGTAAATAGCCAACTGGTTTGCGTCCGGCCAGTTGGGATTCTTAACCCTGTTAAGTTCAAGTAGAATTATTTGTTTCAGGTATTTGCTGGGCCCCACTAACATTAGTGCTGTAAATACTGCCGAGGAAAAATAACAAAATTATTATCATTATTATGCACACTAAAGAACCATACACGCGATAATAGAAATAACTATCACAACTAACTAATCATAGGTTATACCTGAAGCTGCTAAAAAGGAATGAGGTATTGAAAACAATGCTTACAGGCTCCACTACTCCGTCTCTCCCCAGCCCCAACGCGGTTTTCGCGCAACTTTTCTTGATCCGCTTTCCTCACTAGCTTGGAATACCAGAACAGGCTAGAAAGAACTGACTGAAC